CGGTAGCTTCTTACTGCGAGAAGTACGGAATCTGTCAATGAAACGGAAGAAGATCCCCGAAGAGAGAAAACCACCGGTTGGACTTTTCTTTTTTCTTCTGGGTCCTTCCAAACCCTCATTCCCTACAGATCGCACCGATCGCAAGGATCCCTAAACCCTCTATTCTCCAAAAAGGAAAAACCCAAATCCACCGAGCACCGACGACCGGACGCCCACGTAACGCGCCTCGCCCCTGTCTCGCTTTCCGAGCTGCTCCTCGGGGGTGTCCAGCATCACCTGGCGCACCGCGATGATGCCGGTGGTCATCTCGAACCTGAGAACCGCTCACGACTCACGACCGAGGCAAGGCGACACCTGCGCCTTCTGGGCAAACAAGTGTGTATGTGCAGATATGCATATCGAGAATATAATATGCATGCATGCATATATATATATTAATATATATATAGAGGGGCACATTACTGTACTTACTTCCAAAACTGACATTGAGGGAAAGCCCAAGTAAGGGACCTTCATACTAGGCTAGCTTGTTTTCCTCCCAGGTGAGCCTGTTACAATTTGCATACATGGATGTAAAACCGCATAGATGGAGAAACACATCCATGCAAACTAACATACGTCTAACTCCCCCGTGGATGCTGATGGTCGGAGGACTCGCCGGCTGCATCTGATGCCATCTGAGCAGGTGCCAGGAAATTGATCCAACAACTCTGCAGGCACACAGGCAAACACACCCCTTTCAACTCTGCCCCTTGCCAGGGTCGTGTTTGAACAGATTTAGGCGACCCACCTTCCACAGAAGACGGATCCCCCCCAAAAACAAAAGAGTTCGGTCTAGTTTCCCTTTAAACCAACCTTAAAAGGATCGGTCCTTTAGCCACAACGAAAAACCAGGCACCCCCCCCCCGACCCCCCAACCTTTTGTCACCCCCCACCCTGTCACCCCCGTCACTTTTTGTTCTTGTTTGCCATCGGGAAGCAGTGCCCAGATGGGATGGAAGCGCGTGAGATTCCAGATCAAGGGCATCAGCACCTTGCCGTCCACCGGGTGCTCAAAGTGGCTGTGGAAACGGGCCGTCTCCGAGTAGGAGACCTGCGGAAAAAAAAATCCCCGAGGAGAAGTTGAAAGCTTATTTCGTTTTTTGCGCAGCCAGGCCTGTGTTCCCTCTAAAGCGAAACGTGTGGTTGGTGGCAAAATGCGGATGTGTTTTTTTCTTGAGGCTCGATATTCCTTTTGCTTTCACCAAGCAATTTCATAGGAACCAAACAAAGACAACCATCATCCCAATCATTACACGGCTTCCCGGTTAAGGGAACCAGAAGGAGTTGCTAAAACCAAAGCCGTTTCAAGAGTCCCTTTTTTTCCACATCAGAGCAGGCCAACCCATCTGGGCCGGCCAAAGAGTGAGAGGCTGAAGCGGGAGCCAGGGCCTGGGAACTCGCTCAGAGAGGGCAAGCACCAACAGGTGCAGAGTCATAGCGGACCTTCTGGACCTTCTGAGCCCAAAACCTTAGTCATAGGTGACCCTTTGAGGAAAAAATGGATGGGCTCCCCTGGTACATGGGGCAAGCCCATCTGGACCAGTGGAACTCATCTATGTCTAACGAAACTGGTTGATTCCCTCACGCGCCCTCGGCCAGCTTCGGGGATTTGACCCTGGCGGAAAGGCAACATCTGACTTGTTGGAACCTGGGCGCCTAGGTGACAAGAATTTGCTTCGCAAGACCTAGCTTCGGCACTTGAAGACGTTTGAGAATGGAAAAGCAGAAGACAAAAGGCACTTGAATCATCAAAACCCGGTACTAAAATGGTCGACCCAGAACCATGTACAGGATTGAGAAGGCGGATATCCGCTGCTATTTATGGTTGGGACTGCCCCTAACCTTCATCCACCCGGGTTTTGAGCCCGTGCCTCACTTGAACAAAAACAGACCCCCCCCCCTCAAAAGGCCAAAGGCCAAAGGCCGTGCCTTCTGCAGCAGGGAGAGGCCCCACAGCGCCCCCAGGAGCTTCTGCAAGCCTGCGCTTGACTTGGTTCATGGCAAGTTCCATCCCATGAATTCCCATCATGAGAATAGAGATAGGTAATTAGTTATAGAATGTATATGTTTTATGTTCTAGAGATTCTACTTCACGAAATCAGTCACTGGCAACAGCTTAAGCCTACCCCCCCCCCCCCAAGAACCATGCCGCAAATAAGGTTCCCATGGCCATACCCAAGCCATGCTCCTTTTCCGTTTTTGTCACTCTGGGAAAATTAGGGATCCTTCACGGGCCCAATGTTCAGAACCCGACGTCGCTCTGATTTGCGCAGGGTCTTTGTGCCTTTTTGAGCGCCTCACCAAACCAGGCAAATGGCATGCATCTAAGATGATGAAACGGGTTCGCGGGTCGAAAGGTCCAAACAAGTCTTTCTCCATAAATCCAGCACACGCTAAACGGAAGGAACCCAAACCGGGGATGCGATGCTGAAAAGACCCTCCTTTTTGGGCTCCATGTCATTTGCAGACGAGGAGGTCCCAACTTTGCCCCCCCCAGCCGACTTTTTTCCGATTTGGAGGAGCGCCAAAACGGTGTGCTTGCCTCATTTGCGGGGTTTCTCATTTTCGCGCACCCATAGGGGTGTCTCTTAGAATATTCCTTCCTAAAAATGACTGGCTTTCTTTCGGTTTCCTTCCACGTGGGGCCACCCAGAACTCGAACATACCAGCCGTGTCCATTTTCCGCTAAACCAACAAGGGAAGCAACTGCTTCAAGCAAACAGACTTCCCTTTGAACCACTATCCAAATGTCCGGGCCCCTCTTCTCAGATTTGGGATTTGGCCATGGGTCAAAACCCAAATCGTACCTGCAGTGAACATCCCAATCCCAAAAAAAAAGTAAAGCCAAAAAATGGGTGGTGAATTCACCTAGCCACCAAAATGGGCTCCCAAAAAAACGGTTTTGACCACCACAGCCATTTGAACGTCCCGCCGTTCTTGGTGAGGTTCGCCACGTTGGGCAGCACCAAAGTGGGCATGGTGAGGTTGGAGAAGGTCAGGGCGGAGAGGAACCTCTGGAATTGGGACTCCAGCCAAAATAATATATTTTTTGCCTGGTTAGTGGAAAACAAAGAGACCCCAAAAAAGCAAAAAGGAAAAAGGGGAGCTAATTCTGGGGAAGGAACCAGGTGGGCTGGTTCCAGATCTCGGCCTCCTTGGGGAACCACGCCTCAGTGCAAGGGTGGCGCGGTTCGCGGGGTGCTCGGATGCTTGTGCACAGAGCATGAGAGGGAGAGAGGGGAGGGAGAAAGAGAGGGAGGGAGGGAGGGAGGGAGGGAGGAGGGGGAGGGAGGGAGGAGGGAGGGAGGGAGGGAGGGAGGGGGGAGGGGGAGGGAGGGGAGGGGAGGGGGGAGGGGAGGGGAGGGGGGGAGGGGAGGGAGGGGAGGGGAGGGGAGGGGGGGGAGGGGGAGGGGAGGGAGGGAGGGCGGGAGGGAGATAGGAGTTGCAGCCCAATTCGATTGTCCGAGGAGATGGGTAGTATAGCTGAATGACCCTGATCGGCAACCATTTGTTCGCGCCATAATTTAGGGAGAGGCTGTTCGGGGGTCGTTTCCCACCTGAGAGCAAGAGCAACAGCAGGGGTGGGTCATCACCACATTTTGCCCACCAGTTTGAGGCTTCGGCATCCTGACACTGACGTCACCGAAGCGAGTGTCTAACAGGGCCGAGATCCCCTCCTGAAAACGCATGCCACGAGCCTTGCCTTTTGTTTGGCTTCTTCGCCAAAGGACTCCAAACCATTTGACCGCCAAAACATCTTCCCAGAACGCATTTTTGAGCTCCGGGAACTGAGGAAGTGAGAACCGCGGCCCAAGGATTTCTTAACTTGGAGACCAAGAACCTACCACGCCCAAAGGCTTTCTCCCCAGCTCGGAGACAACTAACCTCACTCCACGGTTTGCCTTTAACACTGACTGAGTCATAAATAAGCAGCCCCCCTGGTAGTGTAGAAGCCCTTTTCAAGGGGACGGCTCTTCATTTCAGCTTTGAAAAAGTAAACCCTGTTTAGGGGAATCTAGGAATCGTTGGGTGGGTTTGAAAGGGGTTTCCTAAGAAACCACGGAGGTGTTGTTGGGCATTTTTGCCGGTGAGCCTCACCCCACGTTCCCCTCCCTTCGCCCGCCTGCAGCATGCTGAAGTTCAGGAAGGCGCGGAAGGCAATGATGTTCCAGGACGCCTTGAACTGCCTCCGAAATCGGAAAAATCGGCTCGCTCGGCTTCGGCTTTTGCCGCCCCGGCTGACAGACCCGAGCTGAAAGAGTTGGGTGTTGGAAACTCCAGGTTGCTTGAGGAAACCAAAGGATGTGCAGCTGGGCACAAAAAACTTGCTACCAAACCTGCGAATTTTGCAGCCAAGGCGAAGAAGGGAACAAAGGTAACCGTGGGCTCAACCACAGGTTGCTAAACTCAAAACAAAAGCTGCAGGGGCGCAGGCGGGCTGGGATGTTTCGACATTATACGGGGGAATCCAATTCATCAAGGGGTTGGTTGTATTTTTTTTAGCTGAAAGACCACCAGCTTGGCTGTGAACCAAAGGGTGGCGTCTGTGTTTAGGGAGCCGACTCAAAATGGACGGGTCCTTTTGGTTTAAAACCACAAACACCGAGGCTGATGTTTCTTCCAGGCTCGGCGCGCTTGGGGTAGCCCAAGGGGAAATCATGCGGAACCATGCCATTTGGCCGGGGGCAAAAAAAACAACTCCCCAGAAAGTCCGGGGCGGGAGCATCCCCGCGTCTGCTTCTTGCTTTTTGCCTGCGTCTGTTCCTGTTTGATTGTGCCATCGCCACACAGCAAATGAACCGCCAGCCAAATCAAGTTCCTCGCAAGGTCAATCCACACGCGGACTGTCGCCAAAAAAAAGGCCATCCGCCAATCCGACCCGTCCGGGCCTCTCCGCCCAGATGAACATGGGTGCAAAGAGGGCGGAGGACACAAAGTGCAGGGGGTAGTAGGCCATGACCCTTTGCCAAAAGAAGAGCTCCGGATTCGCCACCTGCGAATCCACGCGCCTCGAGCTTGGCTTAAGCCACCAAGGCCCCCGTTCACTTCGCACGGAGGCAGGTGTGGCTTGGCCGCGGGTTCTTTGGGTCCGAAGTCGACTTCTTGGAAGGTGCTGCAAGATACTCACAGGGAGCTTTTGGTCAACATGTGCAGCAGTTTATGGTCCGGTTGGGGGGGGAGGGGGAGGAAAGAAGAACTCACTGGGGACGAAACCCAAAGGACTCACCACACTTCCCATGCCCTGGGGGAGGCGTCTTTCTTCTTTCACCCCGAGCCAGCAGATCTTCTTTTGCCCGAGAATGGGAAGCCAAAAACCACCCAACCACCCATCCAGATCTGGAAGGAAGCTGGGCATGGCGAGGCTACCCTTTTGGGTTGAAAAAACTCCGGCAAAGAGAAGCTGCCTTCTCCTCCTCGACACCGAGGGCTCCGAGCTTGGTGGTGGTGTAGGCGGACACATATCCACTGATCACGAAGAAGCCACCCACCAACACGTTCTCCTGTGGGGCTTCTTGGAGCTCTTTTGACAGGGCGTCTGCTCTTTTGAGACAAACCCAGATCCCTGGGTAATTATGTGTCAAAATGAGTCAAAATTAGGGGGGGGGGTACCACCAAAATGTTCCTAACTGCCGTCCCGTCAAACCAGAAAGGCCGCAAAGGGATGCGCGCCACGCCCGTGCTGTGGATGGACAACATCCAGCACCACCCAATACACCATGGGAAATCCATTTCGCACCACTTTGAAACCATGGGAAACCATAAGTTGTTGGTACTTACAGGAGAATCACACAATTCTAGGGTTTCTTAGGTGGTGCCTAAGCGGATTTTGTCCATCCACAGTATCTTGCCGCAAAAACGCAGCAAGTTCCTGGGTCAGAAGCTTCAGGGCCGTCCGGTTGCTGGTGGCGAAGCGCGCAAAGTGGGCCACCATGATGGGGAAGACCAGCGCGAAGCGGCACCCGTCGATGCAGTCCAGGCGGGGCTTCTTCGCCGGCGCTGCAGCCACCTTCGACACGTCCTCCCAAAAAAGAGGAGACTGCGCTCGGTTGCTTTCTGCTCCCCTGCTAAAAGTGAATAACTTCTAGTGCTTTAATACGGAAAACCCAGTAGTTGGCAAAAAGTTATTCAGTCCTAACATCCAAGCGAAATGCGCCAAAGTGTGGATGGACGAAATCCGCTTCTCTCTCACCACCTAGGAAACCATGGTTTCCCGAAACTGGTAGTTGCAGGGAGTCAGAGCGTTTCAGGGCTTCTTGGGTGGTGCCTAAGCGGATTTCGTCCATCCACAGTAGCAGTTGTAGAGCGTGCAGCAAGCACTTAGCATGCCCAGGCAATTGGTACATTTAACTTACCTTTGGAAGTTCTCCAGGAAATGGGTGGGCCACAATTGGGCGTCCATGTCGCTACCTGGTTGTTACTCACTCTGCCTGGCTTGATTCCGAATTCCACTTATTCTGGGTAGTTTTTTTTGGGTGAGGTTAAAACAAGTTTGCCGGCGATAAGCGCCTGAAGAGTAGGAATGGGGCTGCGGCGGTTCCATTGTGTCGGGACCAGACGGACTGCAGCTGTGACAGCTGGGACTGCAGCTGGGACTACAGTTGTCCCAACTGTAGCCCTTGCAAGGTTGCAGATCTCAACCATGCAGCAAGAAAGCAAGAACCATGGTAAAGGAATGGAAGTAATCCCAAAGGCAGCAAACCAACAAGTTTGCAGGGGCGCCGGAAGGTTGAACATGTGGTTCATGAGGTACTCTACAAACAGGTCACAGGCGCAAAGGAGTCCCCAAACCCCAAAACCTGGCGACCTTTGGTTTCTATCATTGTGGCTGACCTACACCCCACTAGCATCATGAAAAAGCGTTTGGAGCAGAACCCCTAGCTTCTGCAGGCCTTAGCAAAAATCCGGGTCTTGGGCGCTATGAGGAACTGCGAACCCGGAAAGTGGGGTGGATTCCCTTCGGCGTTTTCTTTGGGATGGTGAAATCCCGGTGCTTCATGGTGAGGACGAGTATAACGGGGAGGTCAACAAACTTGGTAGGCTTGCCAAACAACGGGCGTTTTGAGAAGCTTTGGCCCAAGACTGTGCCCCGAGAAAGGCCGGATCTGGCGTGGGCAGCTCCCAAAAGGCGGCAACCTCTCAAGACGAACAGTCCATTGGCTTGACCATGTTCAAACCCCGGGTGTGAAAACAGGGCCTTTCAAGGCCGTGCTAAAACGAAAGACTCGCCCCCCTCAACTGTATCTGCTGTATCTTTCGGCTGTACTGGTTGGACACTTTCGTAGCTGCAACATTAGCACCTCAAGACTCCCTCAGAGATGCCAAGACAACCTGGACCATGTCATCATGTACCCACAGGAACTCCACAGCTGCCATCTGAATGGTCAAGCGTCCAAACCCCGCCCAAAGCCCCCCCCCCTCCTTGCAGGCGCTCTTGGCATCCGCCTTTGCATCCGCCATGCCGACCTTTCAACGACCTTTGTGTGTCGCTCGCTCACTTGGTGCCAACGGCACCGGCAACGGGGCACGTGTGGAGTGCTCCGAGTGCTTGAGAACAGCTCGAGCCAAGAAGGGTTGGTCTCCAAATGAGCGGAACCCCCCCCCTTCCCCGCCCTTCTTTTTGTCTGGTAGCATCCTGGAGAACAATCAACGGCGTTGGTTTTCCTGTGTTCTTTGGTTTCCCTTCGGTCTCCCTTCGGTTCTTACTTGGTTTCCTTTGTGTTTTCTTTCTGACGTACTGCCAAGGTCGGTCGACCATATGTGGCAGTGCCCGGTCTAAGCCAAACGGGGGGAGGAGGGCAGATTCAAAGGAAAAACTGCCAGGAACTCCCCCATCGAAAGCGGCCAAAGGACGGCCAGGACCCCAGCGCCCGCGCTCGTGCCTCCAGTGGCACCCAGAAAAAGAAGGGTCCGCGCCCGTGGGGGGGAGTCCTCAGGTCGCATCTTGCGACCGCAGGGACACCCAAAGAAAACCAGGAGAAACAAAAGGAAACCAAGGAAAATCAGAGGAACCAGAGGAAACTAAACAAAACCAGAGGAAACCAGAGGAAACCAGAGGAAACCAGAGGAAACTAAAGGGAACAAGAGGAAACCAAAGGAAACCAAAAGAAACTAAAGGAAACTAAAAGAAACTAAAGGAAACTAAACGAAACCAGAGGAAGCCAAAGGAAACCAAAGGAACCAGAGGAAACAAAAGGAAACCCAGAGGAACCCGTGGAAACTAAAGGAAACCAAAGGAAACCAAAGGAAACTAAAGTCAAAACCAAAGGAAACCAAACCGGTTCTTTTCCCTTGAGGTTTCGTCATCTGGCTCACCCACCCCGTCTTCCCCGTCCTGCGCTTGGCGCCGCAGCTGCCTGCGCGCGCCCGAATCCCATGGCCGGTTTGGTTCCACACGGTCTTGTTTTCTACGTTGGCCCTACTGTTGATGGACGAAATCCGATTCGCACCACTTTGGAACCATGATTCCAGGGTTTCCTGTGCAGCATGTCGTCCACAGTATCAGATGAGGCGGGGGATTTGTTCGGTGGGGATTCTCCATTTGTTTGTGTTGAGGGTACCCGTTTTTGGGGGGTTCAAAGAAAGAACCCGCAAGCCGAACCCACACTGCCACTGCAGTACGTGGCTTCCCCTTTTGGAGGCAACCGCACATTGGTGTGCGGCCTCATAATATATGAGCAGCCCGGGGTGAGTTCACTGTTGCAGAAGAGGAGCTTGCCGACTTTGGGGAGCCACCCAGCTTCGGGCTTCGCGCGCCCCCAGATTTCCACCTTGGGATGGCATTGAAAAAGCTGTGAAAGGCTTTGTTGATGCTTGTTCTGTCGTGGAAAGTGCGATGTGGAAAAATGTGCCCAGGAAAGGCTGGCGGAAGCGACTAACCACCCATCTTCCGCACATGCGAAGGGGACTTGTGCAGCAGGCCAGCGCTTGCCGTTCGCGCGAGTCAACGCAAGAACTGCCCGCCTGAGTGAATCCATGGCGCTGCGCACGGAGCGCATCCGGGGAGTAATGCTTCGTCCCAGGAAAGCTCCGGCCGCAAAGTGTGGGCTCGTGGTGACAACCAGTCTGCCATGGTGCGATCTGCCGCTTGCTCTCATACGACTCCAAGCGGCGAGCAGAACGGCTGCGGCGATTGGGCCTGGCAGGTGACACAGCTTGGATGCGGCGCCCTAGTGCCCCCAACAAGGACCCCATGCTTCTGAGGCTGCGTGCGATTTCGGACGGCAAATGATGACAGTTTCCCTTCACCATGTTGGGAGGGCGAGGTTCAGTTCCATTCTTTTCACAACCGTCAGATGGCAAATGGCAACCCTTGGGGAGCTTGCAAGGCGGAATTCAGCTGCCCGAGTCAACATCCTCGGCGCGCATGTTTGTTTTCCCAGCAACTGGAAAGGCTGCTTTACTGGACCCAGTAGCTGTGTGGGAGAATGAGCGTGGAGACAGGAGTGTACGGACACCCTCTGCGTTCTTGTCTTCTGGGGCCTATGGCAACGGCTGTCCGACAGGGGGGGTTTCCCACCACAACAGATGCTCACCGGCAAAAATGCCCCCCCCAAAAAAAAACAAAAACAAAAACGGAATGGCCATGGTTTCCTAGGAAACCCCTTCAAAGCCATCCAATGATTCTTAGGTTCCCCGAAACAGGGTTTGCCTTTTCAAAACTGAAATGAACAGCCTTCCTCTTGAAAAGGGTTTCTACACTACCAGGCAAACCATGCCCCTTGTAGGGCTCAGGTGTCGGAACCCATCACAAGCCATGGCTCCGGGCGAGTTGCACACCCAAATCCGGCTGCCGGCGGGCGGCTGCTCGTAGCACCTGCCAGCAAAACTCAAAACAAAAACTGCAACCTAAGCTGTGCCCAGATCCCCCGCTAGAAGCCGTGGTATCTTTCCGTGGTTTAGTGGTAGTTCCCTGAAAGCCTATAAACAACCACGGGGGGATGGCTGGAAAACCACCAAGGAGCTTGAAGGGTTTCCCTTGGTAGATGGAATCACTGGGCAAGGCATATGTAACTAATACAGTGGCAGAAACGTCACACATGAACGGCCACATGTTGGTTGGTCGATTTGCCCTGTTGGCATGGTCTCAATCTCCTGACATAGAGAAGCCCTGGCACAGCTGTTGCGGGGCAAGCATGCTCAGTGCAAATTGACCAAGAGTGGAAACGTCATCATAAGAACTTGACCTAGGCCGCCCTACACTTGTGTTGTGTAATCCTCATCTTTGTCCTTTGTCAATTCCTTGCTTTGCAATGGCGTGTACCTTGTCAGAAAAAGTTGCCAAAGCAAGCAAGCGAAAGCAAGCTAAAGCTGGATGGTGACAGGAGGAAATCGAGCCTTCAACCTGGCCCACCCAAGCTTGCGCCACCCAAGGCCCCTGTACACCCTGGATTGCTGAGCATGATTTAGATTGGCAACGCCTTGCAATACACATCATTGTTGGGCTGGCTTTCGTTCGCCCTCTCCAGTTATCTCCTTTTAAATCTATGGAGCCTACGCGGCACCTGGGTGATTTCAGCCTGGTGAGAGCAGACGGGTTTGTTTGGTTCCGGTGCCTGAGAGAAACCGAGCGGCGGACCGAGAAACCAACGCGAAGGAAACATGAAAACGGAAACTTCCGCAGAAGAGCGTCAAAGAAAACCCAAACAAGTGGCTTGTTTGCACTCCCCCCCCCGCCAAAAAAGAACTAAAAAGAAGAAGTGTTCTTTTTGGGGATCAAGCATGAAGCCACGCAACACAAGAAGAACAAGTGGTGTGGAACAAGCGGTGTGGAACAAGCGGTGTGCTTTTTGGGAGGACAAACATGAAAATCACCAAAAAAAGTTTCGGGCGCTGACATTTTTCTGAGCCAAAGCTACAAGCCATCCGCTCCTGCTGCAAGCTCCGTGGCGGCGGCCATCCTGAGGCACCCGGAGAGTCTCATCGCCCGTTAGAGGCGCAAACCAAACAAGCGGGCCAAAAAGAAGCTCCATTAAAAAATGATGCAATGGTGAAACTGTTGTTATTGTTGTTGTTGTTGTTGTGGTTGTGGTTGTGGTTGTGGTGGTGGTGGTGGTGGTGGTGGTGGTGGTGGTGGTGGTTGTGGTTGTGGTTGTGGTTGTGGTTGCTGTTGCTGTTACTGTTGCTGTTGCTGTTACTGTGGTTGTGGTTGTGGTTGAGGTTGTGGTTGTGGTCGTGGTCGTGGTCGTGGTCGTGGTCGTGGTAGTGGTCGTGGTCGTGGTCGTGGTCGTGGTCGTGGTCGTGGTCGTGGTCGTGGTCGTGGTCGTGGTCGTGGGTCGTGGGTCGTGGTCGTGGTCGTGGTCGTGGTCGTGGTCGTGGTCGTGGTCGTGGTCGTGGTCGTTGTTGTTGTCGTCGTCGTCGTCGTCGTTGTTGTTGTTGTTGGCACTCGGCTTTTGGGCCGCCCCCAGCAGGCGCGTCACTTTTGCTGTTGCACTCTTAGCCATCTCCCACGTCTGCCACGCGGGCCACAAATCGCAGTTCCGGATTTGGTCCACGAAGGCGTTCCTTTCGCACGTCCCGCGTCACTTTTGATGTCAATCTTAGATATCCGCCACGCCTGCCACGCGCAAGTCGCTCAAATGCACCCATGCCTGGCACATGGTAAGCAAGCCCGCCCACGCGCACGTCGCTCAAACGCACCCATGCCTGGCACATGGTAAGCACACCCGCCCACACGCACGTACGTGGTCTTCTTCTTCTGCGCGGTCTTCCTCCTCTACGTGGTCTTCTTCCTCTACGTGGTCTTCTTCTCCCTCTACGTGGTCTTTTTCGTCTACGCGCGCGTCGTCTGCTTGTACGTGGTCTTCATCCTCTACGCGGTCATTCTTCCTCTACGCCCTCGTCGTCTTCGTCTACGCGCTCGTCGTCTGCTTGTACGTGGTCTTCTTCCTCTACGTGGTCTTCTTCCTCTACGCGCTCGTCGTCTTCCTCTACGTTGTCTTCTTGGTCTACGTGGTCTTTTTCGTCTACGTGGTCTTCTTCCTCTACGTGCTCTTCGCGTGCCTTGGCGTCCTCTTTGTGCTCGTGTGCCTTGGCGCTGGTTGTTTGTTGTTTGCAGTTTCTTGTTTGTTGATGTTTCTTGTTTGTGTTGTTTGTTGTTTCTTGTTTGTTGTCGGTTCTGTCTGTTTCTCCTTGTTTGTGTTGTTTGTTGTTTATTGTGTGTGTTGTTTATTGTTTGTGTTGCTTATTGTTTATTGTTTGTTGTTGGTTCTTTGTTGTTTCTTGTTTGTGGCAGTTTCTTGGTGGGTTGTGTTGTTGTTGCCCTTTCATGGCGATGAAACGGAAATGTCGTTTGGACCCTTGAAAGCCCAGCGTTTCGCTGAGGCGAAAACGTGACGGAAGCAAAAAACGCTGGGTTTTTGCATGATCGGACTTAAATCACCGAAATTCAGCGGACAACCCTTGTTGGGGGCGGCTGGACAACCGACGGCCTTGTTGTAGTAGTAGTAGTTGTTGTTGTT